TAGAAAATAATTTGTCCTCAGTAGACACTGCTCCTTATAACTCCCATGAGTGACCAAGACAGAACTTCTCCTCATATCATCAATACAAAATCAAGCAGACAAGTGATAAGAATAAATATATCTTATTAATCAAGCGCAAGGGCCGTACTGGGAGAATATCGGCCCGAGGTCTTGACAGTATGGACCGAGCGCAGCGAGGTCTGTACAAAAAGACCAAGGGACAATATTCTTCCAGTATGGTCCCAAGCAAGCTTAGTTAATAAGAGATTTATTATACGATTGAAGTTCAAAGGGACACAATTGCAGTATCACTTGGGACCATTCGGGACAGTGCCCGGTCCAATACTGAGAGAATGTTGACTGGCAATAGAGCATTTTGATTGGGTGATTTTAGTTATTGGGCGGCCGAGTTGTGTAATAAAGAAAAATATTCATTAGGAGATTACTCTTTGATCCAATATCAAATTTTCCAAACTCAAATCTTAAGAATTGTATTGCAGACAGTAAAAAGAATTGCTGAAGAGATCTTTGGAGTGAAGTGACTAAACATGATCATTTCTCTCTGTCTCTAATGTCTCTATAAGGTGTTTGTTATACAAATTAACACTTAACTGTTCAATGGAAATCGGTACAGCTAAAACTTACATCTCGAGCTTTCTTGAGCACCATACATCAAAAGCATTCTAACAATGGGTAATGCTCCAAGCATCACGGCCACATCAAGAGGTGCAAATCCATCATCATTCACCCTGAACAACCAATACAAAATAGAGAAAAAAAAATAATGTTTTTTATCTTGTCACGAGCATGGCACAAGGAAAAAATTCTGAGTTCTGGTGAGGAATTGAACCTCAGATCTTCTGACCACTTAGCCACAGAGACTCCATGGTGAGCAAGGCCCATTACAAAGTTCTTATATAACAATACAAAATATTTTTAACACAGCAACAAAAGAAACAAAGAGTTGAAATTATTAATATTGATTGTACAAATGACAACCTCAATAAATTGAATGGGAATTTCAAAGGCAAATATAAAAAAAATGTAAAGATACTGTTTAAGCAAAAAAATGTCCAGGTGAATGGAAGAAATGAGCATTTAGGAAATTGATCAACTCTTATTGGCCAGTATGAGATGACATTTTTGTAACAATGTAGCCTGCAGTGCCGGCATATTTTGGGCACACAAGTGCACATTTTCGTATTAGGCCGCCATCTTAGATTTGGTAACTGTGGAGGATTGGGGCGAGGAAATATTTGCTGAGGGAGTAGGTGTTAAGTGGAAAAATGGGCAACAGGCGAGAGGGAGGGGAAGGAAAAAATACGATATTTTTTCCTTCCCCTCCCTCTCCCCCGTTGCCCATTTTCCACTTAACACCTACTCCCTCAGCAAATATTTCCTCGCCCCAATCCTCCACAGTTACCAAATCTAAGATAACGGCCTAAAACGAAAATGTGCACTCATGCGCCCAAAATACACCGGCACTGCAGGCTAGTAACAATGTGCATGTTTAACCTCTTGACAACAGAAAGGATATGTTCTACTTTTGTGTACCTGCCATCCTTTTTCATCAAAAATTTGGGGCAAAAGATGAACACAACTTCTTGTGGTCTATGTTCTTAAAAGATTTTGCCACACTTGTCTCTACTTTTACTGTGATAGCATAGCATAATTTCAATTCTGTCTTTACCCATTGACATCTACATCCTCTGACTCCAAAATATTCCTAATTTCATCAGTTTCTTTGCGAACAATTGCATCAACAAGAGCTGAGAATGGAAAATTAAAATTAATAAATCCAATTAAGCCTCAAACAATCACAGCATGAAAAATCTAATTTACATGAGCGTAATGACAGCGTAAAGTCAGTGTATAGTTTAATTTTACACAACTTTACGCTTCCTTTACTCTATGTAAAGTTCAGCTTTACAGCACCTTTACGCGTACATATAAAGCTGGCATAATGAAACACCAACTTTATGTAACACCTTTACATTTTGCGTAAAGCTTGTGAAAACCCTACTTTAAGCTTGTGTATAGCTAAAATACAAGCTCCTTTATGCCAAATATATATGTACATAAACATTCTGCCGGTAAATACAATTATGGTAAACGGGAAATTTTTCTTCCCAATTTTTAGCAATTAGGATATTAATTTGTCACCAGCACCAGCATCATCACTGATGAATACAAACCAGATGCACGGCACATCACTCACATAGTACTGGTCGTGAATGATTATTTTGGCCATGTTAGGGCACATCAGCACAGCGTAGCCAGCAAGGTCTCTTTTGCGCTCTCAGTTTGAGTTCAAAGTTAAGAGATGGCGAGGATGATGTAAGCACCCACTATATGTGCCATTAAACATGTAGTAGCTGTTGAGAACTGTAAAACAGTTCTCCCATGGCATGCATATGGAGATAAGATCATTTGTAACCTGTGTGCTCAAAAAATTGTAAATAACACCAATGACAGTACTAAAGCACACATACAATCCCCTGGTACGGCTCATATCGTACACATGTGCACAACCATATCACCTGTGAAGTGGCAGCCATGGACAGCTGTTTCACCCTTGTTGTGGCTCATTAGCATGGCATAGCCAGCAGGGTCTATATTTGCATACACAAGCTTTTGAACAAATCAATTGCAGTCTTCATCACGTTTTTAGTGATGGAATTGAATGTTATTGACATACAATAAGAATATAGTTACATACCGACCTTTAATATGCCTTAATGCAGGTAGTATAAAATTGATCTTTAAGAGCACTTTAAGCGGCGATGTAAACAAGCATAAAGCTGATTCGACACCTTTATTCTAGCTTTAAGTCAACTTTGTGTACCAACCAGGTAAATTGATCTTTAATCACCTTCAAACAACTTTAAATACTAGCGTAAAGTTGGTCATACAACTTTAAGCAAATTTACGCCATATTTATGTTTTCATAAAGCTGCATTTTCATGCTGTGAATGTGTCAAATAATAAACTGTATCATGGTTGGTACACCCTGCTTGATGACTCACATTCGAGAGTGGGTTATTTTTTTCATAGTGGTCTTATGAAGTCCAGCTAGGTTATATCTACAGCTCCTCTTGAATGATTTTTATTTTTGTCATGGCATAAATACTTAAACAGTCCATCATCTCCTCTTGATACGTGTTTGCTGTGGTTCAATTTTTCCTGAGTTTAAACTTTTTTTTAAAATATCCTGGTAATTGTTACTTTACTTTGTCTGACAGACCTATTACATTGGCATATTATAAAGAATTAAAAAGATCAGAAAAATGCCCACATTTGAATGGTTTTCAGGACATTTTAAGGAGAGCAGCTGTAAAGTTGTCCATTAAGCAATTCCCTTTAGCTTCAGTACCTTTCCTTGTAAATCAGTTAGCACAATCTGAAGTTTAATCACAACAACAATCCCCAAATAATGAGATTGTACATTCTCATTATTTGATAGCTGAATAACATATTGAAATTTCAAGGGAGTTAGCTTTTGTAGCTTCAACATTGCTCCATTTGTCACTTTGTTTCACACATTTAGAGCTACCATAGGGGCCATGAACTTCACCCTGACCAGCCATTCCAACTCTGGACCATTTTTCAGGGTGCACAACAACAACCATATTACTATTCAGGTTGCCAAATAGCAAGTATGAAATTAGTTGAGCTTGCAACCATGAAAAGCTATGTATTTGCCCTGAAACAGTCAATTCAAATAATGGAGATAAACTGGGTACCTACCATCTAGACTAGTGTCCCTCTTTTTCTTTGATTTTTCTCTTACATCTTTAAAAGATCAGAACTCATAATCAACAACAACAACCACAGTGTATTTAAGTTTAGTTGTTATTATCAGTCAAGAATACATTGGACTGCTGGCTCAGTTACTGTAAATGTGCCTCTTTCTTTTCCATCCCTGTTTGCCATTAATTGTGCTCTGCATGTGCATATTATAATTGAATATTTATGTGTTTCTCTAACAAAACAAGACTGTAAATTAAAAATTGGATTCTATTCTTAATTTGGAACAAACATCTGATACATTAACTTTGCTCTGTATGTGTTTACCATTATTGAATATCTATGCACTTCTATAACAAAACATGACTGTATAAATCAAAAGTTGGATTCTATTCTACATCTGGAACAAACAACATCAGCGACACTTTATCACTTACTATACCACACAGCTAGAGAAAAAACTGCTATAAAAAAATAATTTGGATATATCAACAAGGTTGAAATGGCAAATTGGCCACCGTAACGATTACAAAAGCTGATGTTTCAAGTGTTAGCCCTTCGTTGGAGCGAATAGAGGAATTGTGGGTTGTGTGTGCTTTAAAAGGCAGAAAATGGAGCTACTTTATTGGTGGGAACATGG